AAGGCGACACGGTTGCTTGAGGAGACGCGTGTGTTCGTGATGAGCTTTCCGTGTAAAAATGTGCGTCCGGCAGCGTTAGTAGTAATTTTAGTCCTTCCACAAAGAGCTTGGGTTCTGCCCCGTCTGCTCCGGTAGTTTCAGATTCCTCGAATGCCTCACCTCTCAGAGGCGTCCTCGCGCGGGCGGGTCCGTTCTTGGTCTTGGCCCTGGCCATTGCAGCCGCAGGCATTTAGTGTTTCAAGTTGGGATGCAAGGGGTTGGAAACATCTCGACGTGTTGAAGTGCTTCAAGCGCAAGCATTACGGGTGAAGAGCCTATAGCCGAAAGATAGAGTTTAGATTCGTGCTTTTTGGTTGGGGCGATGTGGGGGGGGGTTGAGGCCCTTGACGATTGCTTTTGCCCTGTATACGGCTTCGAGGGGCAGCAAGCGCAGCGTTCGGGTCCAAAGCATTTGTGCCTGCGGCCTGGCGGCCTTCATCTCTTCCGAGACCCCCAAGGCTTGGAGCTCTCCGTGCAGAACAACCCCATCTGCTCTGTTGCGCCACTTTGTGGGTACATCGTACTAGAACAGGCTTCCAGCATCATGGACTTCCAGTACCTTGCAGCTCAACAGCACCCTTCAGGTTTGTGTTTTGCGCGTCACCTTGGAAGGGCCCTAGGACACATCGGTGACGCATCCCAGGTCGAGATAGGGCTGCCCGTTGTGATGCCGGTTGCGGTGACTTCCAAAGGCTCTCTGAATTTATGGCGTCGCTGACGTGCGTAGGCTGTGACTCAGTGACTCCGCGATGATTCTGTTGCTTCAACTGCGCATGTGTGTTGTCGCAGGCACTTTCTATGTGAAGGCGCGGAACGCGTGGGCCGGTGCTTGCAAAGCAAGTTCATCGACCTTCCCGTTTGCGTCCATACTATTTGCGGAGAGGAGTTCAGTGGAGCCTTTCTTGGCTGCGGCCTTGTGCAGGCGACGTGAAGAAGGATCTGCCGACACTCCTGACGTCCGATCCCTGGCACCGCGCACGCGTTGCAATGGCCAGCAAGCACACCGCCAAGGTCTGCAAAACCTGCGCCGCCCCAGCCAGATTCCCGAGTTGCAAGCTGCAGACGTTTGCATGGAGCTCACATGTGGAAGTGCATGTGCAAGCATTTTTCCATTGACACGCGCGTTTCCGCATATTCCTGCCTGCGTGATGGGGCGTGCTCAGTTTATCGTTTCATTCATTCACTCATTCAGTCACTCATTCAGTCATTCATTCAGTCATTCGTTCAATCATTCATTCAGACATTCATTCGTTCATTCATTCGTTCTTTCTTTTTTTCTTTCTTGTTGTCTTTCTGTCTTTGGTTGTTTCTATCTAGCTATCTTTCTTTCGTTCTTTCTGCATTTCTTTTCGTCTATCTTAATTTCTGTCTTTCTTTCTTTTCGATTTTGTGCATGCCTGTTCTATTCTTGTGTTTTCTTTCCTCACTCTCTCTATCTCTATCTCGATCGCTACTATGTATCCATCTATCTGTCTATTTCTTTTATCTATCTGTCTGTCTGTCCTTCTATCTGTCTGTTTGTCTGTCTATCTCCATCTATCTCTATCTATATCTATATCTGTATCTATATCTATATCTCCATCTATGTATCTCTATGTCCATCTCTATCTTTATCTCTATCTCTATATCTATATATCTATATATCCATATATCTATATATCCATCTATCTGTATATCCTTATCTATATATCTATGTATCTATATATATATATATATATGCTACCCCCCCCGACGTACCTACCTATTTGGTGTGTTTGTCTCCAAGTGTTGAACACTTCGACGTATTACAAAGACTCTGTGAGCCAGATACAACAGCTATTGATGTGTAAACAATCTTCTTTTGGCATGGTGCAACTGTCACACATGGGCCACTGAAGTAGGCCCACTACGATCCATTCTAATAATATCATTACAGTCATTCACTTATTAACTGTATCGCAATAATCTTCGCAACACCATGCAGCTATTGTTATCAATTGGTGTTACTAAAAGAAGTTGCCCTCCCATCTATATATGCTTGTTGTTGGGAGCACCCCGTATGGAGGTACGCGTACATCGGCGCATAGAGGGCCCAAGTGACAAAAAATGATTTAATGCGCAACCTCTAACCAACTGAACTAGTGTTATTCCAACGATTATAAACTAATCTCCATAGTCTTGTACTCTTCTAGGCATAACATTAGTAACCACTTAGATGTAATGGTGTAGACGGTAGCATAATACCACTGGAACACAACTACCATGAATAACCTAGATAACTTAACTTGTTACAACTACTTAACATAGCTAACCTAAACCATTCATACCACTAGCTGTTAACCTAGTGTTAGAAAGTCATGTTGATCCTGTTACTAACCATGTTTCATCTGACTGTACATATAATAGACTGAACAGAATAGCAATGACTGTGCCTAATGATAAGACACAAGGAAAGCGTACAACAACATGATAAGAGTCATGTAAATCTATGTCAGCATTTCTTATTTAGCCAAGTACAATACCAGCTGGACCACCTATTATATACAGTTTATATGAAAGATCTAGTATACCAGATAGCATTAGTTGTGAACTAGTATCATTAATTATGCATTAAGTTTTCAGATATATAGAACACCAAATAAAAGATCTTAACGAACCAGTTGGTAATGATATTATCAATTTACTAAGTTGTAAAGTTAGCTCCTGTATCACTATTCCATACTATTTGTAAATATAAGATGTGGCCAAACTAAATTTTCCTAATAGACAAATACAACTCATAGCTAAGATCATAAATAAGTTAACCAAGACGTGTAATATGTCAATTATTGTTAAACTATTGAATACCAACTGGTCCAAAGAACCAAACAAATGTGGGTAGAGTATAGGATCACTTCCAAAGTATGGTTCATATATTGTATTCTCGTGTATATCTGTTAATAACATTAGCAAAGCTACTGTCAATATTGGTAGAACTATTAGCAAAATAGATGATGTAATCCCAGCTGATCTGGTTATATGTTGATAAATTGATAAAGTAACTAAACGTAAACCTAGTAATTTCATAATCTGACAACTAATACAGAAGTTATAAAGATGTTAATGTTGATGATAGACCTGATGTAATGAAACTGTAGCTAGTAAGACTGACACCACAAGTTGCGAATGAGATTAATGAAGTACTAACAATACAAACCATTCCTCTTATGATTACAGGATATTTATGGATATCAACTATGTGCTAACTGTTATCATCCTACTGAGTACGTTTGTTGCTACTCATTCCATTTCATACCATAATTATATTCTATAAACATCTGGGGGCTATGAGGCCCTGGGACTACAGGTGCCTACCTAACATAGCAGGTGTTTCAACGCATAAGACTTAGCCTGGCCATCTTGAGACGTCTTTTGGCACTCAGGATATTGACGACTGATTAAAGCCTTGATTTTCAATCCTCACAACTAGAATGTGTGCCACTTTTATTGGCTTTTCCAATGTTTCCGAGTTTCAGAAGCCGAAAACATTGGAAAAACCAATAAAAACCATAAAAACCAATCTATGTCCAGGCGCGACACCACTTCCCATGCGATAATTTGAAAATCATGTTTTTTATGGTTTTTATTTGTTTTTTCCAATGTTTTGAGCTCCTTGTATGCGTTTTTTTTTGGTTTTTCCAATGTTTTGGACTCCTGTGTGTCATTTTTATTGGTTTTTCCAATGTTTTGGACTCCTTGTGTGCCACTTTTATTGGTTTTTCCAATGTTTCCGAGTTTCAGAAGCCGAAAACATTGGCAAAACCAATAAAAACCACAAAAACAAAGATTTTCAATTTATGTCCATGCGCGACACCACTTCCCGGGCGATAGTTTGAAAATCATGGTTTTTATGGTTTTTATTGGTTTTTCCAATGTTTTGAGCTCCTTGTATGCGTTTTTATTGGTTTTTCAAATGTTTTGGACTCCCTGTGTGCCATGTTTATTATTTTGTCTAGTGTTTTTGGTTCCCTGCATGACGCATTTATTGGTATTTTCAATCGCGACCGTGTGGTTTTGGGACGGTGTGCAGGAGCACGATTGGGATCGTGTATAGGAGCACCATCTTATCCTACTGCAGCCCTTATCCCCTGGAAAACATAAACCTGCATCGGCTTGCTGAGCTCCGCACCTGAACAGGAAAGCAGGAAAATGGTAGGTACGTGGGGGGGGGGGGGGGCACCATACATATATATATATATATATATATGTATCTATCTGTCTATCTATCTATCTATATATATATATATATTTATCTATATAGCTATATAGCTACATAGTTATGTAGCTATATATATATACACATATACATATACCTATTTGCCTATATATCTATACATCTATACATCTATGTATTTATATATCTATATATCTATAGATCTATATATCTATATGTATATTTATTCGTATTTGTATCTATCTATCTATCTATCTATTTAGCTATCTATTTACCTATCTATCTATTTACCTATCTATCTATTTATCTATCTCTCACACTCTCGCTCTCGCGCTCGCTCGCTCTCGCTCTCTCTCTCGCTCTCTGCGCTCTCTCTCACTGCGTGGTCCGGGTTGGTGGTGGGGCCAGCCAGGAACCTGGTGGCCCAGACCATGCCACAGGCGCTTCGAGAGCCCGGTTGAGTAAAGGGATGCCTCTTGAACGTCTCCCTTTCAGGAACTTGCTTTGATGTCGAAGAAGGAGACCGTGAAGCTGATGTGCCTTAGACTGCGCAGAGGCTTATCCTGCCAGATCCCGTAAGGAGATGCGGGGGCTGGCCAAGACGCTGGGAGTGGGCAGCCAGGGAAGCAAGGCTCGGTGCTGGGGTTGGAAGGCGTGTCCCCTCCGCAAACGCATCGTGGAAGATACTCCCTGCCAGGCCGTCCTCGCCAAGAGACTCCGCAAGGCTCAGAAGAGCAGGCAAGCCGTCCTCCGGTGCATTCTGATTTTCTACGTTTGGGATTCTTGCATTTTTCAGGTGAAGACGTGGTTGCGTGCTTTTTGAGACGCCTATCGGGAGTGCCCGCCACACTCGACCGGCAAACTATGCGCGCTTGCAAAGCCCAAAGCTACATGGATGTTGGCCTGGACCTCTCCTTCACCAGATGAGCATTTACCATATCATATACCCCAGTGCCGTGTAAATTTGTGCGCTCCACCACCCATTATGCAATCTTGTATACTTGTATAATTGTATCATATCATACCCAATATCGTCTGGAGGGTCCGAGATTATTGCATACAGTACGTGGCATATGTCGACGCGAGAGTCTAGAGCTGACATAAGACTAACGGGTCGATGAGGGGCCTCGCCCGTGAGGCGAGATGCAAACAAATCAAACAGGCTCCTAGAGGACAGTCTATTCCAGAGGCAAGACAAAGGGCTTGCACGTACTTCTGTGGAGCAAAAGCTGTCCACTCCATGCCTTCCGAAGGAAGCCATTCATCGCGGTGGCATGTTTCACCTCTCCGCGAAGCCGCTGAAAGTGCATGCAAAGGTGCCTGGAAAAAGCACAAGCTTTTCTCTTAAGGCTTTGATGCATGCATGTTGCCATGCAGTGACATACCTCGTCGAGTCCAGTTTCGTGTTCAGAGTTTCGGAACGGCAATTTTCTCATTGAGTTGTTGCAGACTCGTGTGCTACATGGTCAGATGCAAAAAAACAAGCCAAAAAGCTTACTTGGAAACCCTCAACAAGCCCCGAACCGGCCTTGGGGGCACCTTCTGACTCGGCCGCTGCTCTCATCTTCATGTCCGATTCGCCCGTCTCTCGCAGCTCTCGCATTGTTGCCTGTGTGCAGCGCGTAAGGTGCCGTTGGTCGCTTCGCTGGTTCTGACGGAGACTTTGGAGGCACGGGGAAGGGTCGGGAGAACAGCCCATAAGGATTGAGGCTGAGTTTTGCTTAGTCAAAATGTTCAATTCCCTACCCGACCCTATTTAAATAAGCTTGCGAGACCGAAGCCCGTACAAGCCAGTTTTTCGGAGGAGCCATGACACAGCAGGGTGAGCAGCGGGATGTGATCAGGAGGATCACGGCTCGAGTGCCAAGCACAGGTTTCTGAACATTCGGTTTTCGTTGAATCATGTTTTGGGGCTTCGAGTGCTAGATGATGTGGTGTACTTTGAAGATTGCTTGTGTGTCATGGTGTGTGGAAGGCTCCGGAAGCGAGTGCGTGGTGCTCTTCGCGGAGGCTGAGATGCATGAGATTGAGGCTTGGCTAGAAGCCTGCAGGAGCTAGATGGGGTTTCAGGGTTTACACAGTATGGGTTGTTTTTTTTGCCTGGCCCGCTGCACAGATAGCGTCGTCTCCGTCGGAGGTGCCGCGTAGATCCCGAAACTGGGCTACTCGTAGGTTATGTGACTTGTCGCACGTTGATTTGATAAATGTGGCTTAAGGACGTGGATGAGTCGGAGCCCCATATGTTGGTGCCCGCGGAAGCTTCTGCCCGATGCCTATGTTCACGCTGATTAGTTGCACCGAACCTGGCATGAAGGCTTTGAGCGAATGCTCGGTGAAGAACCGAGGCGGAGGATCGCCTGCGACTGTCGAAGATGCCGGATGGCCCGTGGACATGGACGTGGTGCCTTGCAGGCTGCTGTCAGCTTTCAGACTTATCGAACGAAGCAAAGTGAAGTTTGGATTGCTGGAACGATAGACGGCAAGTCGGTGCAGGAAGCAGCTACTTCACGACGTGGCCAACAGAATCACTGACCTGACCGACCAGGCACACGGAGTCTCAAAGTGTCGAGCTTGCTTTCCTTATCGTCGAGAGTGGAATGTCTAGGCCCGGTGCCAGGTGAAGATCTGAGCAAGCTCCAGTTGCTGCTGCCTGCTGCTGCCGAGCCGTGGTGTCACCCTCATAAATCGAAGTCGAGCTGCGCTTTGCATCAAGCTCCATTGACGCGATGTTGGCTTTCGGTCGCGGGCTGTTTAGGGTTTAGGCTTTCGAGTGGGTTCCGGAACCCAAAATACCCCCATCGCATGGAAAGATCTGAGGTTGAAATCAGCGGTTCCCCTCGGGTCCTGCACACCGGAATCTACCCCATGGCCAGCCATGGCCAGAAGACCCGCAAGGAACAAGGAAGTGAGGAAGGGAGGACATGAGCGTCGGATCCAGAAGAAACGTCCCCGGGTGTTGGCGCTTGGGTTTTGGTGCAAAGTGGTCGCCTTGTTCGGAGCGCTGCAGCGACCCGAACTCTTGAAGCGATTTTGCAGAGCAGTTTCAAAGCCCTCTTTATCACTGAGAGCGTTTAGGAAGCTCAAAAGAACCTTGTGAAGCCCTTCTAGAACTATGAAAAAGAAGTGAGCCCAATCTCCAAACCCTTCTCGCTTAAACCCTTGCTTCTAAAGCCCCTTTCTCGAAAAAACGATGGGAGAGGCTTTGCGCGCAAGGCTGAATGAAGGCAATGCTTCATAGACGACCCCAAACATCTCTCTCCATGAAGAACCGACATCATCCTTGGGGTCATTTTGTCTTTTGCACGTCGCTGGCAGTTCCTCAACCTTTCTCTTGTTTCGTTGCATCACGCCACGGGTGGTCTCACTTGTTTTGCTTGAGCCATGGACCGGCTGACCGGCCTGAGGTTTGGAAGTTCGGTCTGGTCGCTGACGTGCCGTTGCGGGAGGCCGGAGTGACCAAGGGGACATAGCTTTTCTGTGGTTGTTCGTGGGACAGGGACGGATTCGGAATTCGGAGGGTTTCCATTCGGCTGTGTTTCTTGATGGCGGAGGCGTCATCGCCCGAGCTGTTCGGAAGCTCAGGCAAGTAGAAGGGCGTTTCAGAATCTCAAGTCGGCTGTGTTTCTCGATGGCGGAGGCGTCATCGCCCGAGCTGTTCGGAAGCTCAGGCAAGTAGAAGGGCGTTTCAGAATCTCAAGGGTTGCCAGGCATAACCAGTGCTGGAATTGCTCGAGGGTTGAGGATGCTCTGTGTGGGAAGTTCGAGTTGGCTGAAAGATGCCTGACAGGATTTTTGAAGACGTGGCCTTTTTGTTTTAATTTCCACACGCTTCAAGAAGAATGCCAACAAAGAGCTACTTGCCATGCAGAAGGCTTGACTGCTGAGCGCAACAGAAAGCATCAGCAGTGCATTTCCTGATAGGTGCTGCATCAAACTTTGCATCATGTCACAAGTCATCAAGCCCTTTGTTGCAGTCCACCTTCGCGGAAAGGATTTGAGAGTCTTTACGCGCGGAAGCCCACATCAGATGACCTCTCTGGCATCTCCCCTGTGACGAAATCAAACCCCATTCCTGGCAGTGATTTTTTGTTTTTGCGTGTTCTTCTAGGAGTTTCTCAGCTGAGGCAAACAAGAGCCTTCATGGCTCCAGACTTCTTTCTGAGCCCTCTTGATGGAACTTGGTTTCACTTCCTGTGCTTGATCCATTGACCGGCATGAGGTTTGGAAGTTCAGTCCGGTCGCGGCACGTGCCACTGCCGGAGGCGGCTTTTCTGTGGTTGTTCGTGGGACAGGGACGGATTCGGAATTCGGAGGGTTTCCATTCGGCGGTGTTTCTCGATGGCGGAGGCGTCATCGCCCGAGCTGTTCGGAAGCTCAGGCAAGTAGAAGGGCGTTTCAGAATCTCAAGTCGGCTGTGTTTCTCGATGGCGGAGGCGTCATCGCCCGAGCTGTTCGGAAGCTCAGGCAAGTAGAAGGGCGTTTCAGAATCTCAAGGGTTGCCAGGCATAACCAGTGCTGGAATTGCTCGAGGGTTGTGGGAAGTTCGAGTTGGCTGAAAGATGCCTGACAGGATTTTTGAAGACGTGGCCTTTTTGTTTTAATTTCCACACGCTTCAAGAAGAATGCCAACAAAGAGCTACTTGCCATGCAGAAGGCTTGACTGCTGAGCGCAACAGAAAGCATCAGCAGTGCATTTCCTGATAGGTGCTGCATCAAACTTTGCATCATGTCACAAGTCATCAAGCCCTTTGTTGCAGTCCACCTTCGCGGAAAGGATTTGAGAGTCTTTACGCGCGGAAGCCCACATCAGATGACCTCTCTGGCATCTCCCCTGTGACGAAATCAAACCCCATTCCTGGCGGTGATTTTTTGTTTTTGCGTGTTCTTCTAGGAGTTTCTCAGCTGAGGCAAACAAGAGCCTTCATGGCTCCAGACTTCTTTCTGAGCCCTCTTGATGGAACTTGGTTTCACTTCCTGTGCTTGATCCATTGACCGGCATGAGGTTTGGAAGTTCAGTCCGGTCGCGGCACGTGCCACTGCCGGAGGCGGCTTTTCTACGGTCGTTCGTGGGACAGGGACGGAATCGGAATTCGGAGGGTTTCCATTCGGCGGTGTTTCTCGATGGCGGAGGCGTCATCCCCCGAGCTATTTTCGAGGCGGCGTCTAGAAGACAAGAAGGCAGATGATCTGAAGCGGGGATGGAACTACATTTGCCTCGGCAGGTACGGCGTGCAGTAAGTTAGACCATGAACAATTAACCGGCGAAATCTGTCGGTCTGAAAGTTGGCTAGAGTGAGCAGTAGGTGTTTGGGCACAGCTGCCCAGTTGAGCAGGATTGGGCTTTGGATCCGTGGCAGGCATCGCAGGTTGCAGTACTGGTTTCACACATACATTGACTGTCCTAGGCTCTCCAACGTCTGGGCTGCTTTGGAAGTTTGGGTTCTCTAACTTGATGTCTTCAGCTGCTTGAGGGTGTTCCAGTGTTCCAGGTTCTCTTCTCAGTGTGCAGCTAGAGGCCGTGCGTTTCCTTGACTCGATTGGGGCACCCCACTCGGCCACCGCAGTTGGGGGGAAGCGCACACCGCTTCCAGCTCCTTTCTTGTCTTGGAGACGCATGGCTGTTGAGGTTCTGGGACAGGTTATCGGTTTTATAGGGTCGTGGGTGGGTGTTGTATGACACGTTCCGCAGTGTAGGATTGAAAACTTGCTTGTAGCAACTGCAGGACACAACGTGGTTTCAATCAGATTGATCGCTTTGGTGGCGACGACGCCGCAGCCTCAGGCCTTGCCAGACCGCACTTTCGGCTCCAAGTTGTCGCTCATTCTCTTAAGGAGGGCCATGTAGAACGTCTGCTGCGGATGCTGTGCATGACTAGTTTCATGTGTTCCGTAAGCGCAAGGGTTGGAATCTGCTGATCAGACGGACGCAAGCCCATGCAGACATGACTGTACGTGGTGTAGTGGGTTAGTGCAGACACGGCTGTGAGCGCCACTGCGTGTGTATAGGAGCTTACATGTTCAAGTAAGTGTGGGAAGAAGTCCGCTGATTAGACGGGGGGGATCTCTGAACACAAGCCCGTGTGGACAGGCCAGTCTGGAAACTAATATTGTTGGGAGGACCCCATCGGGCAGACACGGCTGTCAGTGCAAGTGAACGTGTATAGGAGGCTATTCGCAAAGGCAACGGTGGGAATGAATCCGCTGATCCGATGCGGATAGTGCGTTGCGTTGCGTGTTGTAGCTCTTTCGTTAACCAATAAGGGACCGGCAGAACTTGTTGTAAGAACAAGTGCGTGTGCAGCGGACAGGCAACTGCAAGGGTGGGAAGGACACTGTTCATCCAGGGGGCGGGGGTGTGCGGCTTAAACCGGGTTTATTGGGAAGCTGGCTTTTGTACTGTGGAGAGGAAAGGATGCTCTAAATCCCTATTATATACAGAAGAGTTAGCTTCCAAATAGACCTATTGGGCAGACAATAAGACAATTTTTGCATCTTTGAATATTTGGGCGACCCCACAACCACCCCCACCAAGCTGTAAATTATGTAATTCTTTTAGCTTATTTAATTCCCAGCCCGAAGTAACTAATCTAAATAGGTTAAATATTGAGGGGGCCTCCAGATTTAATTTATTCAAGTTTTTTTATTCCCTGTCCACGCCAACTTCCCAGGTCTCCGGGAACCCCCGTGCCAATATTTACATTCTATTTCTTATATTTGTTACATCATTTAATTCCCGGCCCGAATTCAAAATTTAAGTTTGGAGGGGGGCCTGCAGATTGCAATTATTTGAATTGGTTAATTCCCGGTCCGCGCTAGCCTCCCAGGGCCCGGCACCACCGTTTGAACAAATTTACATTATTTAGTTCCCGGCTTGAATTACACAGATTTATGTATATTGAATTTGGAGCCGTCCTCCAGATTTACATTGTCTAATTCGGGCCGGGAACTAAACATTTTATATAATTCAGCTAGTCTGAACATGAGAAAGGGGGGTTCTGGAACCTTGGAAGGTTATCGCGGACCTGGTATTAAAGAAAGAAAATCTGGAGGTAGCCTCAATATTTAGATTAGGGTTTCTTGTTTCAATTGAAGAATTGAAATCTGGAGGCCCCCTCCAGAATTGAATTATTTCAGTCGGGCCGGGAACTAAGCATTACTTTAAATCATTCCAGTGCCCCCCTGCCCTTCTGCACTTCTGCCACCCTGTTCTTCCGGCCCGTGCCCCCTCCCCTCTCCCGCCACCCCCTGCCCCCTGCACCCTTTTCTTTTTTCAGCGACACAGAAAAGCCGCACTTTTTCAGTCTATGCCGGGGCCCGGGCCCTTCTGGTTTCACGAAAAGAGCCACGACATTTTGATGATCTATTCTCTGGCCCCGTTGCCGAAAAGAAATCCACTTTGTTAGTGTATGCTGTGGCCCCTCTCCCATGTTTGCTCACCGAAAAACCCCATGTTTGTTGCTTAAGTTCTCCTCCGCCAAAAAGGACATGCGACTTTGTGAACTCATTCTGTGGCCCCGGTGCCGAACATAGAAGCAGCACTTTGTTATGCTGTGGCCACCTTCCTTTTCCTCTAGAACATGAGGGGCACTCCTTATGATTGAAGGTTTTCTAAAGAAACATCTCCAGAGAAGACGAAGGGATGAGAAGGGCATTCCCTGTGCTTGCCATTTTGAGAGCATCAGCGCAATATCCCGATGATGGGGACACTCCTTGCGATTAAAATTTTTCTAGAGCATCATCGCCAGAAAACATGAGGTCTGAGGGGGGCACTCCTTGCAATTGAAGGTTTTCCAGAGATCGCCAGATAAGATGAGAGAGGCAGTCTTTGCAAGTGAACGTTTTCCAGAGCACCCTCACCCAATCTTTCGAAACAAATTGCTAACCTTAGTCTCTTTTATTTGGGGTTTAAGCTATTCTCCAAAATGACAAAGAGCAAGCCTTGGTCCCTAAGATTTTGGATATAAGTTCACCCTTTACGGACCTGGACTTGCGATGTGTCCCTTCAGAAGAAAACTCGGGCCAGCGATCTTAAGGACCGGGACTTGCGAAGTGTTTGTGTAAGGCTTTGGAGAACCCGGACCAGAGCATGCGGGCGAGGGAAACACTACTGGCGTTTGAAGGTTTTCCAGAACATCATCACCAGCAAAGATATGAGGGACACTCTTTGCGATCAACTTGTTCTAGAGAATCATCGCCAGAACGGATGAAGGGATGAGGGCGGGTGGGCACTCCTTGCGATGCAAGGTTGGGCGGGGCACTTCTTGCGATTGAAGGTTTTCTGAAGCATCATCGCCAGGAAAGATGAAGAGATGAAGGGGGCACTCCTCGCAGTTGACGGTTTTCCAGAGCTCAGTAGGAGGCCATTGGCAAAGGCAAGGGTGGGATTGAATCCGTTGAGCCGATGTGGGTAGTGCGGTAAGTGGTCTGGGTTTCCGGTAAACCACAGTGGCTTCTCGAGGCATCAGCAGCCACGGCGCGGCAGTGAAGTGCGTGAGCAGCGGTCAGGTCTCGCAGAGGCAAGGGCCTGAAGGACATCACTCTCATCTGCGGGGGGTGGGAGTATTGGGGTTAGTTGCTCCCCCAAAAACCCACTGGGCAAGCACGGCTGTGAGTGGAAGCGCGTGCGCCGAAACGGCCTATGGTGCAGATTTCGCAACTGATGAGACGGGCGGGCTGTTGGTGCAAGCCCACCTGGATATGGTGGTACGTGGCTGCCTCCCATGTAACGAACCCACCACTGGGCAGACACGACTGAGTGCAAGTGCGTGCATAGGAGCGTACATGTTGGGGTACAGATGGAGAAATCCGCTGATCAGACGGCCGGGCTGTGAACACAAGCCCATGTGGATATGACAGGTTGTGTTGACGTATGCTTTCAGAGCCCAGTGGGCAGACACGCCTGTGAGGTTTCGTTGAAGATGATCTGGCAAAGGCGACGGTGTGGGAAGGAATCCGCTGAGACTTGTGAACACGAGCGCGTGTGATACGCCCGTCTGTGTTGACGTTTGTGTGGCCGTATGCTACTAACGGCCTCCGAAGTTCCAAAGAATCCACTGAGCAGACATGGCTGTGAGCGCAAGTGCGTGTGTGTAGGAGGCCATTCACAAAGGCAAGGGTGGGATTGAATCCGTTGAGCCGATGCGGGTAGTGCGGTACGTGGTCTGGGTTTCCGGTAAACCACAGTGGCTTCCCGAGGCATCAGCAGCCACCGCGCGGCAGTGAAGTGCATGAGCAGCCGTCAGGTCTCGCAAAGGCAAGGGTGTGAAGGACATCGACCTCATCTGCGGGGGGTGGGAGTATTGGGGCTAGTTAGCCTAGTACTGGCTCCCCAAAAACCCCACTGGGCAGACACGGCTGTGAGTGGAAGCGCGTGCGCCGAAACGGCGTGTGGTGCAGATTTCGCAACTGATGAGACGGGCGGGCTGTTGGTGCAAGCCCACCTGGATATGGTGGTACGTGGTTGCGTATGCTAGTATGGTACTGGCCTCCCGTGTAAGGAACCCACTGGGCAGACACGACCGAGTGCAAGTGCGTGCATAGGAGCGTACATGTTTGGGTACAGCTTTCGCAAAGGCAAGGGTGGAAAGAAATCCGCTGATCAGACGGCCGGGCTGTGAACACAAGCCCATGTGGATATGACAGGTTGTGTTTACGTATGCTACGACCGCTCTGAAAGGAACCCAGTGGGCAGACACGCCTGTGAGGTTTGTGTGGGAAGGAACCGGCTGATCAGGCGGGGGGCCCGTGAGGCCCGTGCACATATGGTGGTACGTGTTCTAGAGTCTAGAAGCCCCGTAAGCCGGTACCTTCCCCAAGGAACCGGCAAACACGGCTGTGAGCGCAACGTGTTACCGTATTCTAGTACTGGCATCACGAGGCATCCACTGGCACGGCGGAATCCGCTGATCAGACGTGCAAGTGCGTGTGTGTAAGAGGCCATTCGCAAAGGGAAGGGTGAGTGGTCTGGGTTTCCCGTAAACCACAGTGGCTTCCCGAGGCATCAGCAGACGTGAAGTGCGTGAGCAGCCGTCAGTCTCGCAAAGGCAAGGGCGCGAAGGACATCACTCTCATCTGCGGGGGGTGGGAGTATTGGGGCTAGTTAGCTTAGTACTGGCTCCCCAAAAACCCCACTGGGCAGACACGGCTGTGAGTGGAAGCGCGTGCGCCGAAACGGCGTGTGGTGCAGATTTCGCAACTGATGAGACGGGCGGGCTGTTGGTGCAAGCCCACCTGGATATGGTGGTACGTGGTTGCGTATGCTAGTATAGTGCTGGCCTCCCGTGTAAGGAACCCACTGGGCAGACACGACTCTGAGTGCAAGTGCGTGCATAGGAGCGTACATGCTGTGGTACAGATTGAGAAATCCGCTGATCAAACGGCCGGGCTGTGAAAACAAGCCCATGTGGATGTGACAGGCGACCGCTCTCCAACGAACCCAGTGGGCAGACACGCCTGTGAGGTTTCGTTGAAGATGATCTGGCCAAGGCGACAGTGTGGGAAGGAACCGGCTGATCAGGCGGTGGGTCCGTGAGGCCCGTGCGCATATGGTGGTACGTGTTCTAGAGTCTAGAAGCCCCGTAAGCCGGTACCTTCCCCAAGGAACCGGCAAACACGGCTGTGAGCGCAACGTGTTACCGTATTCTAGTATTGGCATCACGAGGCATCCACTGGCACGGCGGAATCCGCTGATCAGACGTGCAAGTGCGTGTGTGTAAGAGGCCATTCGCAAAGGCAAGGGTGAGTGGTCTGGGTTTCCCGTAAACCACAGT